CACCACTTTGGACATCGTTATGGAAACTTCAAAACACTAAAATAAGAACTCCATTTGACCCAGCTAGTCCCTTTCTAGGTCTGTTTCTGAAAGAGCCAAAGACTAAATTACATGCACATCCATGTTTATAACAACATAACTCATCAGAGCAAAATCTCGAAAGCAGCCTGTCTGTCCATCAGCAGAAAAATGGATAAAGAAACGCGGTTTTTATGCATAATAAGTACTACTCTGTTATAAACTCGAGTCATTTGTAGAAAAACAGATATATCTTGAGACCGTAATATAAATGAGACACATAAGACACACAAGCTTAAATACTGCATAGTATAACATGTGAAATAAAAGATACGTAATAGGAAATGAGGAGATTGATCTTTCTCCAATGGGAATGGGATTAAGAAACAACAGAGAGAAAGGGAAGGGAGAAAGGATAAAAAAAGAATTAAGATGTGTTATATACATATACCAAGTCCACCCAAGGTGTTTAAACATAATGTATTGCAAACACGTACTAAAATAATAATAATAACAATAATGATACAATAAGGGGCTCACAAGATTAAACATGATTGACCCAGAATATGTCTTTTTTGATACATTCAAATTCACCTGCTCAGATGGTTACTCACAGGAGAGGCAGCCCGTCCTATCCTAGGTATGCATGTGGGTCATGCATGGCTCTGAGAATTCTGCCTACAACAATGGCTAAAGAACAGTGTTTGACGCCCCTGCCCCGCTCAAAGGGCATCCTCTCTGAGAACGCTTCTCAAGGGAGAGGAGCCGAGTGATGCCAGATTTTACTCAATTAAGGTATTACGGAAACCTTCCCTCAGCTCCTGAAGAAATGTCAGGGATGAAACTTCCCTGTCAGCTGTACAAACCAGCCTGTGTCTCACCGTGAGCTTTGCAGCAGATCCTCCTGTTTTTAAGCAGAAAGAGCGTCACACCGAAAGGAAAGGAGGAAATTGAGAGTAGGGAAGAGACCAAGAAAGAGGCTTGGGAACCAATAGACAGGGGTGTTCTCTAAGGGTGAAGGGTTTGTATTGTCGGATTTTCTGCTTCTGGAACAATATACCTGACTCTTGAAACATAAAGGAGGAGGGATTTTTAGGGTCATAGTTCCAGATGGTTCAGTCCATGGGTGGCTGGCTTCAAGGTAGAAATAGCATGGCACAAGGGTCTGGCAGTGGGAAGCTGTTCCAACCAGCCAGCTGGGAAGCAGAGAGACAGAGGGCAGCCAGAGCAATATGTACCCTCCAAAGGTACAGCCCGAGGAACCAGCTCCTCCGATCTGGCCCTGCAGACAGCACCTCCACGTCTGGGCTCATGGGGCTGCACCTTTGGAGGGTACATATTGCTCTGGCTGCCCTCTGTCTCTGTTTCCCAGCTGCCTTCCACCTGTGGTGAACCAAATCACATTGCTCCAATGTAGGTTTTTGCATTAGTAGTGCTCTAGAAGTGCAAATTTCCCTGACGTTACTCATGATTGTGTAATTTTGTTGAGTGGAGTATTTTATTTTCCATTGGGTAAAGCCTTTGAGAATGAGGCAAATTCCTTAGTAAACTTCAAATCTTAGTGTTTGAGTCACTAATCCTGTCTGCTCTGGAGCAGCTACAGAGCTGAGAATCGTTTTTCCCATGAATCTCCTGTGTTATTGAGCAGAGCAGTGGCCTTGGGCATAGGAGGCCGAAGCTACTGTGTCATTCTGGTTCCCCCACTGTCCCTGTCAAGTCCATATCACACTGAGCTGTGGAAGGAGGACAGGCATTGTCCTGAGTTTCATGAAAACTTCTGCCATGCTGGGCCAGCACAGCTCTTGCCGCGATATGTTCATTGCTGCAATAAACCATGACTTGGAACAGCTGCTGCCATCAGCATTAGCGCTAGTTTTGAAGAAGAGCTCTGTACTTTCCATAACACCATGGTTACCCGGCTTACCAGACTCCAGCATCCGTGTGTGAAATTGACCCACATGGCCATCAGCATCCCAGGCTACCATCTGAGCCTGACTGTGTGTTCCCCATCTGGCACGATAGAAAGAGCGCCTGCAAAGTCCAACACTTGAGACTGAACTGAGAGGTGACAGAGTAAATCCTGGTATCGATGGCATTAGTTGAGCAGGAAAGGAACCTCAAGATTATTTGTGCAAATCACTTACAGTGCTCTAATTTGTGTTACAGGCTGTCTTGAACTGACACTGAATCTTCACATGAAGGACACTGCCTCTCCCACACCACGGGAAGGATGTTTGATGCCACTCCCACATGAAAAGAAAATGTTCTTAAAAATCTGCGCTCACTTTAATGCATGAATCCCAGATTCCTGTGTTCCTGTGTGAGTATAAAAGTTCAGAATCATGTTCCATTTTCCCAGAAGCTTTCGGTGAGCATGGGAACTGCAGCACACAACCCGGTGAATCAAAATGAGACAACTCTTCCAGGTCTGTCGCTCCCCTTGAGAGTTGGGAGCTGAGGTCCAAGGGAGCTATGTGGTAGCTGTGGAAACTGATTCTGGACCACCCCGAGTCCTTGTCCTGAGTGTGTCCCCCCAGCTGTGCTGCTCTACGTCACAGTCTGCACTCAGGACATTTTCACTCCCCAGACCTAGTGCCCAGGAGTCCATAGTCAAAATATCCACCTCCACCTGATGCTCTTTTGGTAACAGCTCAAATTTAGGTCTTCAGTGACGAAGATGGCAGCAGGGTGATTGAATCCTATTTATAGGGATCCACTACTGAAATCGATGTGTACTGTTTGGGGTTTGAATATAAACTCTTGACTTATAAAAACTGGCACTGATTGTTTGTATTTCCTAAGAAATTGACTTGACCTAGCTTTGATTCTTCTAGGGAAAACTAAAGTTGGAACTGGTTGGAAGAGGAAAGCTGTCATAGGCAGATTTTGTGACTGTTAAGTCCTAGGAGGCAGAGTACATCACATTCACTTGGAACAAAAGCCCAGAAAGTGTCAACAAACACCCAAGGTATCAAACAGGCAAAAAATTAAGAGAAATCTTTTCTTTGTGTGAGCATGTGTGTATTTAGGGGGAGAGAGGGTAGACAGGAAAGGAGATATAATGACCAGGCAATTAGAACAAAGAGCTAAAACCAAAGGAAGCTCATTTTTGGGCTCACACTGGAGAAACAAGCAGTAAAACTTTCTGAGCACCAGAGGACCTGATAGAGTGAGCAGGACCCTGCCAGGGTGGGACTGGAAGGAGAAGACAGGTATTTCAAGAAAATGAAGCTCGTAAAACTGAAGATAAGTTTCTGCACACATGCACATGGTTGTTGAAGTTAACATTTTTAGCTTAAACAATTATTATTATTTTGAAATCAGAAAAATTATGAACTGTTAAGAATTAGGGGAAACAAAGATAAGACTAAAATTAGTAAGCACTATACAGGGCACAGATGCCATTATACATCCATTAAGTGCTGTCTGAGCATATAATAATGAGTAGTACTCTTTCTGCCTAAGAGAACGTGGAGAGGGAGGGGGTAGACAGGGAGGGAGAGAGAGAGAGAGAGTGGAAGGGAGACAGAGGGAGGGACAGACAGAGAAGGGAGAGAGAGAACAACTGTGTCCCACTTCAGCCTAAGAAACATGGTGGAGGGCTGGGAGGACAGGACAGCTGTGGGTCTCTCCCCATGGCTCGGCAGGTGGAACATCTGCTCCCACACCTCGCTAGCCTCACAAGGGCAAGGAAATGGGGCAGCAGACCGAGGCCCCGGCCTTTCACACGCTGTGAGGACTCCGGACTCAGACAGTGGGGAGTTATAAACTTCTGGAGGTTTCTTTTTGTGTTATTTTCTCGCCTGTGTTTCTCTAGGTGGAGACTTGTTCATCACAGAAAGCCCCTCCTCTGTACGTGAGGATCGTCGTAGTAAGTGGATTTCTCTACCGGGTTGTGCTCAGGGCCAACACACCACTCAGAGTGCTGCAAGTGCCAGCTCGAACCTCAGCACCACTCTGGGAGGAAAGAACAAGGACTCACAATAAAAAACCTGGGAAACAAACCAAATATGGTGGAAAGGATCTTTGCAATTCCGCTAACCTAGAAAAACAAAAGGGAAATGTTAATATAGGATATGCAAAAAAAAAAGGTATTAAAGACAGCAACATTAAACAAATGCAAATAAAAGCGGGAAGGGAAGGGATAGAAGATGTGACAGGGGACAGAAAGAGAAAAGGAGTATGCGATAAAATAAGGAAAGAAAGGAAGAAAATGTCCAGTTAAATAATTTTAAAACATATAGAAATTAGATAACCCTACAAAAAGCCCACTCATGAGGGAAAACGCGAGAAAACCACATAAAAAGCAGAAGACGTGAAGACGGACAAGACCAGCGTCGCCCCCTGCGGAGCTGTCGGAAGCGGGGCTTCTCCCGGTGTTGCAGGTCCCGTCCGGCGCCCCCCCAGGAGCTCCACCGCTCCAGCCCGCAGGCTGCTAGCGCGG